TTTTCCTGTAATTGATATCTAGTCTCATAGCGTTGTGGTCGGAAAAGATACTTGATACAATTTCAATTTTCTTAAAGTTACCAAGGCTTGATTTGTGACCCAAGATATGATCTATCCTGGAGAATGTTCCATGAGCACTTGAGAAAAATGTGTATTCTGTTGTTTTTGGATGGAATGTCCTATAAATATCAATTAAGTCCATCTTGTTTAATGTATCATTTAAAGCTTGGGTTTCCTTATTTTCATTTTGGATGATCTGTCCATGGGTGAAAGTGGGTTGTTAAAGCCCCCTACTATGAACGTGTTACTGTCGATTTCCCCTTTTATGGCTGTTAGTATTTGCCTTATGTATTGAGGTGCTCCTATGTTGGGTGCATAAATATTTACAATTGTTATATCTTCTTGGATCGATCCCTTGATCATTATGTAGTGTCCGTTTTGTCTCTTCTAATAGTCTTTATTTTAACGTCTGTTTTGTCTGATATAAGAATTGCTACTCCACCTTTCTTTTGGTTTCCATTTGCATGGAATATCTTTTTCCATACCCTTACTTTCAGTCTGTATGTGTCTCTAGGTCTGAAGTGGGTCTCTTGTAGAGAGCATATATATGGGTCTTGTTTTTGTATCCATTCAGCCAGTCTGTGTCTTTTGGTGGGAGCATTTAGTCCATTTACATTTAAGGTAATTATCGATATGTATGTTCCTATTCCCATTTTCTTAATTGTTTTGGGTTTGTTATTGTAGGTCTTATCCTTCTCTTGTGTTTCTTGCCTAGAGAAGTTCCTTTAGCATTTCTTGTAAAGCTGGTTTGGTGCTGCTGAACTCTCTCAGGTTTTGCTTGTCTGTAAAGGTTTTAATTTCTCCATCAAATCTGTATGAGATCCTTGCTGGGCAGAGTAATCTTGGTTGCAGGTTTTTCTCCTTCATCACTTTAAATATGTCCTGCCACTCCCTTCTGGCTTGCAGAGTTTCTGCTGAAAGATCAGCTGTTAACCTTATGGGGATTCCCTTGTGTGTTATTTGTTGTTTTTCCCTTGCTGCTTTTAATATGTTTTCTTTGTATTTAATTTTTGACAGCTTGATTAATATGTGTCTTGGCGTATTTCTCCTTGGATTTATCCTGTATGGGACTCTCTGTGCTTCCTGGACTTGATTAACTAATTCCTTTCCCATATTAGGGAAATTTTCAACTATAATCTCTTCAAATATTTTCTCCGTCCCTTTCTTTTTCTCTTCTTCTTCTGGAACCCCTATAATTCGAATGTTGGTGCGTATAATGTTGTCCAGAGGTCTCTGAGACTGTCCTCAGTTCTTTTCATTCTTTTTTCTTTATTCTGCTCTGCAGTAGTTATTTCCACTATTTTATTTTCCACGTCACTTATCTGTTCTTCTGCCTCAGTTATTCTGCTATTGATCCCATCTAGAGTATTTTTAATTTCATTTATTGTGTTGTTCATCATTGCTTGTTTCATCTTTAGTTCTTCTAGGTCCTTGTTAAACGTTTCTTGTCTTTTCTCTATTGTATTTCCAAGATTTTGTATCATCTTTACTATCATTATTCTGAATTCTTTTTCAGGTAGACTGCCTATTTCCTCTTCATTTGTTAGGTCTGGTGCATTTTTATCTTACTCCTTCATCTGCTGTGTGTTTTTCTGTCTTCTCATTTTGCTTATCTTACTGTGTTTGGGGTCTCCTTTTTGCAGGCTGCAGGTTCGTACTTCCCGTTGTTTTTGGTGTCTGTCCCCAGTGGCTAAGGTTGGTTCAGTGGGTTGTGTAGGCTTCCTGGTGGAGGGGACTAGTTCCTGTGTTCTGGTGGATGAGGCTGGATCTTGTCTTTCTGTTGAGCAGGTCCACGTCTGGTGGTGTGTTTTGGGGTGTCTGTGGCCTTATTATGATTTTAGGCAGCCTCTCTGCTAATGGGTGTGGTTGTGTTCCTGTCTTGCTAGTTGTTTGGCATAGGGTGTCCAGCACTTTATCTTGCTGGTCGTTGAGTGAAGCTGGGTGCTGTTGTTGAGATGGAGATCTCTGGGAGATTTTCACCGTTTGATATTATGTGGAGCTGGAAGGTCTCTTGTGGACCAGTGTCCTGAAGTTGGCTCTCCCACCTCAGAGGCACAGCACTGACTCTTGGCTGCAGCACCAAGAGCGTTTCATCCACATGCCTCAGAATAAAAGGGAGAAAAAGTAGAAAGAAAGAATTAGTAGAAGAAGAAAGAAAAGAAAGAAAGAAAGAAAGAAGATAAAATAAAGTAAGATAAAATAATATAAAGTTATTAAAATAATTAAGAAAAAAAAAAAAAAAGAAGGATAGAACCGTAGCACAAATGGTGAAAGCAAAGCTATACAGACAAAATCTTACACAGGAGCATACACACTCACAAAAAGAGGAAAAGGGGAAAAAATCATAAATCTTGCTCTCAAATTCCACCTCCTCAATTTGGGATGATTTATGTCTGAGGGAGGGAGGGAGGGGGGGAGGGAGGGAAGGAAGGAAGGAAGGAAGGAAGGAAGGAGGATAAAGTAAAATAAAATAAAGTTATTAAAATAAATAATAATTATTAAGAAAAAAAATTTTTTTAAACCAAAAAACAACAACAAAAAACGGATGGATAGAACCCTAGCACAAATGGTGGAAGCAAAGCTATACAGACAAAATCTCATACAGAAGCATACACATACACACTCACAAAAAGAGGAAAAGGGGGAAACGTCATAAATCTTGCTCTCAAAGTCCACCTCCACAATTTGAGATGATTCATTGTCTATTCAGGTATTCCACAGATGCAGGGTACATCAAGTTGATTGTGGAGCTTTAATCCGCTGCTTCTGAGGCTGCTGGAGAGATTTCCCTTTCTCTTCTTTGTTCTCACAGCTCCCGGGGCTCAGCTTTGGATTTGGCCCTGCCTCTGCGTATAGGTCGCTGGAGGGTGTCTTCTTTGCTCAGACAGGACGGGGTTAAGGAGCCGCTGATTCGGGGGCTGTGGCTCACTCAGGCCAGGGGGAGGGAGGGGCACGGAGTGCGGGACAGGCCTGCGGCGGCAGAGGTCAGCAGGACGTTGCACCAGCTTGAGGCGCGCCGTGCATTCTCCCGGGGAAGTTGTCCCTGGATCCCGGGACCCTGGCAGTGGCAGGCTGCACAGGCTCCTGGAAGGGAGGTGTGGATAGTGACCTGTGCTCACACACAGGCTTCTTGGTGGCCGCAGCAGTGGCCTTAGCATCTCATGCCTGTCTCTGGGGTCCGTGCTTTTAGCCGCGGCTCACGCCCATCTCTGGAGCTTCTTTAAGTGGCGCTGTTCTGCCATTTTTATTATAATATGTCTTGATGTGGTCTGTTTGGGTTCATCTTTTTTGGGACCTTCTGTTTCCTATATCTGGATATCTGTTTCCTTCTTTAGGTTTGGGAAGTTTTCAGCCATAGTTTCTTCAAATACATTTTCAATCCCCTTTTCTCTTTCTTCTCCTTCTGGAATCCTTGTTATCCGTAGATTGGCATGCTTTGTATTATCCCATAGGTCTCTTATATTGCTTTCTTTTTTGTTTGTTTCATTTGGCTTTCTCTCTGCTGTTTTGATCGGGTAATTTCCATTATTCTATCTTCCAGATCGCTTACTCTTTCTTCTACATTATTCATTCTGCTCTTCATTGCCTTTAGCTCAGCTTTTGTCTCGGCAAATGAATTTTCTAATTTTTCTTGTCTCTTCCTTATAGTTTCTACTTCCTTTTTACAGTAATTTGCATTTCTGTTGATAGCCTTTCTTAATTCCTTCAGTATTTTTGTTACCATCTTTTTGGACTTCGTGTCTGTTAGACTGAAGAGGTCTGTTTCATTGTTCCTTCAGGGGAATTCTCTTGGTCTTTTCACTGGGAATGGTTCCCTTATATCCCTCTTACTCTGTGTATTTAGGAGAAACAATTATATACCGTAGTCTTGGAGGGCTATTTATATGCAGAAGTGTCCCTGTGTAGCTTGTGTGGGTTTAATATGTTTTTGGTGTGAGGGTTGCTTTTGGTTTGGATGCTTGCCGTTTCTTTCCTCAGCGTGTGCTGGCTGTTATCCCTTGATAGGGGCTATGCAGGTGCACTGCCTGCACAAGTTTCCAGGAGGTGGGGGAAACAACCAGCATCCACTCATGGGACCCTTGGTAGTGGCAGCAGTCCACGCCCATCTCTGGAGTCCTAGATGGCAGTGGTGGCTCGCACCCATCCCTGGAGCTCTTGTAGGTGGTGCCCTGCCGCCTGAAAGCACACGTGCAGAGAAAGGAGCTTCTATGGCGGTCCCACCCCTCTCCTCACACACACCCGAACAATGGCACCTTGTCTCTCTGGTGGTCCCAGGTCTTCTTCCATGCTGCTGATTGCCAGTGAAGAAGATGGATGGGTAGATAGGAGGTGTGAAGCAGTAGTACTTTTAAATCAAGAAATAAGTAAATACCCTTCTTTCAGATTTTCTATTTTTTAATGTTCCTTAAGTCATGTGGTACAGTCTCCTCTGAATTCAGAGTGGTGGAGTGTAAGATGAGGAAACCATGGGCCACCTGTATGGGCAGGCTGGTTTTGATGTCTGGAAATGCATATGTAAGAGTTAGTTTTCATTCATACATTTTCCAAGTAGAGAGAGTTTCGAGGTTTAACTGTTGTATGCTTTTATATACCAACCCATTTAAAATTGTAGTCAACACGTGACTGGAGTGTAGCATAATGATTAAAGGATAAATAACTCCTCTGGCAGTGTTTGGGAATTAGTATTGGCATTTGTTTTAATTTTATTTTAACAGTTTAAATAATTTCAAATGTTGAAAGAGTAATAACCTACAGGTGGTCAGTTACGTATTATCACTAATGTCAGGCTTTCCTTCTTTGGAGGGGCCAAAATGTCAAAAGGAATAAAAATTATAATAATAATCCTATGTGGCAACCTTTGATGCAAGAGAATTTTAGAAATTTTATTTCTAAAATTACGTATTTGGAGTATAAATATTTTTAATTTATTTTTTAACTAGGTTCAGGACTTCTGGAAATCTTGTAATCACTCGTGAGATTGATGTGGCAAAAAATCAGTCCTTTTGGTTCATCAACAAAAAATCTACAACTCAGAAAGTAGTAGAAGAGCAGGTTGCAGCCTTAAATATTCAAGTGGGCAATCTTTGCCAGTTTCTACCTCAGGTATGAGAGAATTAAATGTAAAGGTGGGGAAATTTTGTGTATGTTTCCTCTTTACGTCATATAAGAATGTAAACACTTTTTAAGAGTATTGTAATGGTTACTATTTAAAATGAGCATAGTGGTCTTAATACTTACTAACAGTTCTTTGTAAAAGGTAGCATCTCATCTCTTACAGTATAATCTTACTAGTTTGTAGTAATTTGGAAATATTCAATTAATGAGCCTGTTAAAGTATTGTAAAGGAAATAAAGGTATTATTTTTAAGTACAGAGAGTAGCTTGAACAGCTGTGTGCTCTCATTCATAGACTCGTAAAATTTTGTTAATAAACAACTTCTTAATCAGTGTGTTTGTATAAAATATTTTATATAGTAAGACTTTTAAATCTATAGGTGTGCCTTCTAAAAACCTTTCATATTTTAAGTTTGTTTAGTAAAAATAAAACATCCTGATATTGCATGTTATATGTTAAAATCAGATCTTTTAAATTTGTCTTTGAATGCAGTCTAGTGACTGAATTATAGTTCTTTTTTTTCTTCAGAAACTGATGATTTGATTACTATGTCTAAGTGAAAGAAAAGTTAAAATTTTAAAGTATTTATCAGCTGTTATAAGACTGTCTACAGAAGTAGATGTTTTAAATTGCTCTGTGTGTTTTTTTTTTAACTTCTAGTATTTCATTCCAAATTATGTGTAGTAGATAATCATTTCAGTCCAGGGGACTATTTTTTCTTTTCTTTCCAAACTATTTGTTAAATGTGTATAAAACTTAAAACCTGGAAATATTGACATTGAAATTTTTTTTAGGTTCTCAAAAAGATGACAGTTTATACCCTAAGTTTATTATTTTAAAGAATGATATATGAAGGACAGGGTTTATATTAAGATTCACATCTCAAAATAAAGGGGATTTTTTCTTTTAAATGAGTTTCTTCTTGACAAGTATCATTGAATGAAAAATGTTTTGAAGATATTTATAAACGATAATATTAACTGATATTTAAGTGTTTTGCTCTAGGATAAAGTTGGAGAATTTGCTAAACTAAGTAAAATTGAACTCCTTGAAGCTACTGAGAAGTCAATTGGTCCTCCAGAAATGCACAAATACCACTGTGAACTCAAAAACTTCAGGGAGAAAGAAAAACAACTAGAGGTATTTATAAATAGACAACTCATTTTATGTCTCTCATTGATTTCTACGTCTCAAAATGTGGGAAAGTAAATAGTAGTTTTGATTCATTGAGTGCATTCATATATTTGTGATTTTTTTTCACCTAGGATTTTGTTGCTAACATTAATTAAGTTAGGTGACAAAAAGTGGGAATGGATTTTATATAAAGTTTGAAAATTTTGACTATCATTTCATCAAATATATGTTATTAATTGAATTTCTAAAGCAGCAGTCCCCAACCTTTTCGGCACCAGGGACCGGTTTCATGGAAGGCAGTTTTTCTACGGACGGGGGGAGGGGTGGGAGATGGTTCAGGCAGTAATGCAAGCGATGGGGAGCAGCAGACGAAGCTTCACTCGCCTGCCTCCTGCTGTGCGGCCTGGTTCTTAACAGGCCACGGACCAGTACCGGTCTACAGACTGGGGGTTGGGGACCCCTGTTCTAAAGAACCGATAATAGTATTATGAAGTATTTTTTTTCTCTCAGGCAGTTTCAGTGTTATTCTTTTATTCATTCAGTATTTACTAAACACCTACTACATGCCAGGCACTGTGTAAGGCTTTGGGTAATACAGCAGATATGTAGCTTTTAATATAGTGTCTCTGTTGAGCCAGTTCTCATATTTTCAGTTGTGTGAGGATGGACTTTGTAAAAGAACTGTACATTTAGTTGCACTGTTTGATTTTTATTTTCACCTTTAATAAATTAAAATGTTCTTTTTAGCATATCATTCGAAAAGGTGCTTTATTTAATGAATCATTTTCCATATCTCAGCAGCTAAAATAAATTCAGTAAATTTTTGTAATGAGAAATCTTGTAAACAAATGCTTTCTCTTAAACTGTAACTGTCTGTACTTGATAATGAGCTTTATTATAATTTAATACTATTTTTATTGTTATACTTATTCAGAGTGAATGGCCAAAGGAGTCGTAATTATTTTATCCTACTTTATATACTCCGTCGGTCCTTTTACTTTTCACGACATCAAACAATCTTAATACACCCCTCTGAAACACTCACTGAAACTACCTACCAAACTCTGAAGGAAAACAAACGTATTCTACTAAGCTCTGAGTACATTTTTGGCATTTGTTAATTCACAATATAAAGGCTGAATTTTAGCTTTCCTTTATCTCATTTCTAAGTCCTTCAGTCATTGGTATTTATAACATTGTAATCATAATAATACCACTCTTCATTTGTATGTCATGTTACAGCTTTTGTTGAGCTTTCACCTATAGTAGGTTGAGTTGCCTCCACCGTTGAGGTGAATGGGGCAGATACCTCTCTTCTCTTCAGGCAAGAAGAATCCAGGCTTAGAGATGTGGCAGGGCTTCCTCACAGTCCCATAATTAATAAATAGTAGAACCTAGACCAGAATTCAGGTGTGCACATTAGTTTCACACAGTTCTTAAGAACTCCTATGGAATCATTTATTGTGAAATTTTGTTAGCGCTGTACATTTTTCATTATTAAAAGCTTTGACCTTTTGTCTTTCTTCAGTTAAACTAATTGTTAAATAAATATTTATTTTAGACCTCATGCAAAGAGAAAACTGAATATCTAGAGAAGATGATTCAGAGGAATGAAAGATATAAACAAGATGTGGAGAGGTTCTATGAACGTAAGCGACATTTAGATTTGATTGAGATGCTTGAAGCAAAAAGGCCATGGGTGGTAAGTGTGAGTTATTAAAGGTGAAAATAGTGATTCTTTAATTAGGAGGAAAAGTTATAAAGAAGGCACTAATTGTATATTCAAATTAGGTGCTTTTGTTCATTTTTGCTTTGTATATCATACATAGTAACATTTATCTCTTTCTTTGTGTTATTATACAACTGTGTGCTATGTTGTTATTGCATGTTGATTAAGTCTGTGTCCTTAATTTTTCCAGATTTGAGTCAACAGTTTTGTTTTATAAAATGTTAATGAGCTAAAATGTTTACATATGTAAAAATTAAATCTTTGAGTGTCCTCAGGTCACTGAGAATTTACTTTGAGTGTGCTACTAATAGCAGCTTCAGCTACAGAGAAAGCTGAAGGATATTAATTGTAATCTTCTACTCATTATGCTTCATAAGCTTACTGAAACTACTGTTTTTAGTCACTCTGTGATGTATACTGTCTAAAACCACAGTTTGGGTCAAAGATTCATTTCCCTCTGTACATTACTTTTCAGTGGGTGAAACAAAATAAGGAAGTTTAATAATGTTTTTAAGGCTAGGATGGAAATAATTATTAGATTGGAGAAATATGTGGCTTTATTTGTGAACTTCTCCCACCCACCCTAACCCCACCACCCCTGCTTCACCCTATCCTTTCCCATAATTCCATTTTCTTAAACTTTTTTCTTCCTTCAGCTCATTTTGATTAGGTTTATCCTATGTCCATTATTATTCTTGCACCTGCTTTATATTTGTCTTTTGAAGTCTTTTGATTTCTCCCTTTTCTTTCAAGATTGATTTCAATCTTTTTTCATTTTTTCCTTTTTTTGGTTTACTCTAATGTTTATTTGTATTGTTTTCTTACCTTTCTTCATCCCATTCATTCTTACTATATGCTCTCTTAGCACTCCCCTTAATTTTTTTTAGCAAATATTTATTAATTCCTGTGACGTGACAAGCATCATTTTCACCTGGTTGCTACATTTTGCTTTTCTCTTGAGCCATTTTACTTTTGTTTTTTCATTTTTATTTTTCATAACTGAGTTTCTTTTGGTTCTTTATATGTTTTTGAATGCCTTCTTTATTGAGAGACTAGAGGAGGTCCTACTGTTAGAAGCCATTAGGATGTAAATTTCAATAACAGGAAGGGATGGAAGACAGAGAGTCTGGCCTAGTGATAGAGATAAGTGCTCAGTGAGTATCACTGAGTTAATCATTATGTTGGTATTTACTATTTCTGAAGTTGTTTCAGAGGGCAAATTTTTTATTAATAGACCTGCCAAAGGGATTCAAAACCGTCTTTTTCATAGATTTGGTTTCTGCCTGTACCTTGATTTTTGTATTTGTGTTACTTTAAGCTAGGAGTGCATTAACTTCTCTTTCTTGAATTCATTACAAGGAATATGAAAATGTTCGTCAGGACTATGAAGAAGTAAAACTAGCTCGGGACCGAGCGAAGGATGAGGTCAGAAAACTTAAAGAAGGGCAGATTCCTATAACACAACGCATTGAAGAAATTGAAAGGCAGCGTCACAATTTGGAGGCTCGAATCAAAGAGAAGGTACTTTTCTGGCTCAATTTTGGATTTCCTGTATTTTATTTTAGCAAATACAAAAAATATTTTGCAGGTCTTTTAAAATGCTTTGTAGATTTACTTGTTAACTTTAGTTCCTTAAGTTCTTTTACTAGGAATTCTACTACCACAGGTCTTTCAAGGTCCTAATCATCACTTGCTACTTTATAGGCGCTTGCTACGCTATAGAAATTCCGAGACATAAAAAGAGAAAAATGAAATGTTATTGTTTTAATAACAGGAGGATTCAGAGTAGTATTCCTAGAAACGTTTAACTCCTTTTGTGAATTTATTATACATGCTTTGTAACTATATACCCTTTTGGAGGAATGTAATATAAAAATCCTGATGTTTCTTGGAATAAATAATATAATGGCCTATGGAATATTCTTGATATTTTGAAAATATAAATTTAAATTTTTTGTGATCATGGCTTTTAACCTTTAGGTGAGATTTTGGTGTCAGATATTGTTTTGAGAATGGACCCTGCAATTCTATATAATCGTTTCTAGGATAAAATAACATGAGGAAATAAATGTGAAGAGATACAGAAACATATGTATGCATATTGCTGCAGCTATTTTTAATATCTATAGGAATAACCTTTCATAGATTTTCAAATAATTGTTGGTATTTTGGGTGATAATTATGAATTTAGTTGGAAAGAAATCATGGAAAATCATTGTGGGTAAACTTAAATAGCAACTTAATATTTGGATGAGTGGGGTCACATAATTGCCTTGCTTGAATTTTTAACTAACTTCCCCTCTTCTGGTTCAATCTTACAGGCAACAGATATTAAGGAGACATCTCAAAAATGCAAACAAAAGCAAGATGTTATAGAAAGGAAAGATAAACATGTAAGATCTTGTATTGAAATTTTTGTTATGTTAATTTGCCCTAACTTTTGTGTTCAGGTGTAGATTATGAGACACCTTCTTGTTTGGGAATTGTCTGAGATCCTCCTCATTCTCTATTTCTTATCTTAATCTGTGAGGGGAACTAAGCTTTGGAAGTATAGCACTTGCACAGAGGATAAATGGGGAAAATGGCTCTAAACTACTCATAGATATGCATTATAGGGTGCAATAGATATGTATTTAATAGGGTGATGGTAAAGTTGGATTTAGTTATCTTAACAGCAGAAATTAAATTATAAGGGATTTATTCTGTTGTTTGTTTATATTAAGAGTTGGGTATTAAAAAAGCTGATTATAAATTCATTGTGCATGGATGGGAGTTGATGACAAAATTATTTTAGGATAATTGGGCAAGAAAGTGGGCTTTTTAGCTAACAGATCCCAAAATGTATCTGGGGTTCTGTTCTCCAGGACCATTCAGAAACTAAAGTTTGTATTACCTTTCTTAGGGATAGATGCATGTCTTGAAGCATTCCTGGTGTTTAAAGCATGACGTTAATCTCTCAGTTTTCAGCCTTACCCCTTTTCCTATGCCTTTATCTTCAAGCTCCAATCCTCTCTCATTTAACTTCTCCAGAGAATAAACCTCACATTTTCATGACAGAAGCTTGCTTGCTAGCGTTAGTGCTCAAGGTGTGTACATAGAGGTGGTGTGAAGGCATTGGGGTAGGAGGGTAGTGTAGGGTTGGTAGGGGTAATTCTCTATGTGGGGTGTGTGTGTCTTTCTCTCTCTCTTTGGAAGGCTCAACAATAATGTATTTATAGCAAAATCTCCTTTCTCTAAATCCCTCTAAAGTATGTGCAGGGCAGTCACCATTGTATCCAAATACCCGGTAGAGAAATAGAGACTCAACAAAATTAAACGACTTGCAGAACTCAGAAGTAGCTCCCAGTGCCGCACTCTACTTTCCCCAATGTAAAATAACATTTTCCATAAAAATCTTACTTAATATGTAATGTCTTTTTACTTGACATTTCCTAGTTCTAAGAGTCTCCAGGATATTTTTTTTTAAGAAGAGTCAGTTCTTTTCTTGTTTCTTTCTCTTTCACTCACCCTTTACACTGTGGTTCCTATAATAGGCTGCTAAATTAGTTGTCCCTCTACTACATTTACTCTTCTGAGTATTTATTGAAATCTCCAGTTATTGATGTCTCCTCCCTTACTCCTTTTGTCCTTGTGAGATTGAGCCCTTTTTGCTCCGTTTCTGTTATTTTGTTAGAGTTTAGAAGGAAAAAGTCACAAAGATTCACCTTTAAAACCCCAAACGGGAATACTAAGTTGATAGGTTGTCTAACATTGAACCGTCCTTGCATTTTGTCATAAATCTTACTTGGTATTTTAATATGTTCCTGGATTCAAATAGAAAATCTTCTTTTTAGGATTGTTTTGCACCATCTGAGATTGACCTAAAATTTTATTTTATTCCATCCTTAACTGTTTTTTTTTAGTGTTATGCCAACCTTTTAAGTGGTTTAGTACTCCTAAAACCAATGTTTTCTTTTTTTCCCTTATCATAATTGCCAGTTTGTCACTTTTGTAAGTTCTTGAATTTTTAGCCTTTCTTAATTTTTAATACATTTTAGGGTATAAATTTTTTTCTGGTTATCATTTGGTTATACATTTCATATGTGTGATATGTACTGCTTTTCTGTTTAAGATTTTATAATTCTCATTTAAATGTTTTTGTTTAAGCTTACATAGGAGTTCTTACTGTTTCAATTTACTTGGATATGGAATTTTTAAGCTTATTAAAAAATGTGTAGTTCCAGTTATATTGCTTTACGATTAATAAATGTGGCCTTTATGACTTTATTTTAGAATTTTTGGAAACCTCTTTTGGGCTTTTATATTTGGTTTTGTATGTGTTCTTCATACATTCATAAAGAATGTATTCTGTCTTCAGGGATTTTTTTTATACATATAAATATAGATATATAGCTATATATATATCAAGCTTACTATAACTATGCAAATGTTCTACTTATTTTTTTTTCTTACCAACCTGACATCCATTTTAAAGTATCAGTACCTTCTGTGAATGTAGATTTGTCTATTTTTCCTTGTAATTGTATTAGTTCTTGCTTTCTAGATTTTAAAGCTTTATTGTTTGTTCTTTCTGCATCATGTTTTTATTTTATCTGCTGTAAATAACATATACTGGGTTTTGCTTTGTAATTTTTTCAGTTTGGTGTGAGAGACACTTTTTCATACAGTAAAGGAGTTTAACCAGTTCACATTTACCATTGTTTTCTACTTCCTATGCTTTTTGTTTGATTCTTCCTATTCCCCTTTCTACTTTCTGTTGCTGTTGATCAAGGATTTCTTTTTCCATTTTTTTCCCTAAAGTTATATATTCTAAGCCTATTCTACTGATTACTCTTAAAGTTTAAATAACATATTTTTCTTAATAAAAAAAGTTAATCAGTATTTTCATTTTACTTAATTAAGATCAGAATCTTAGCAAGCTTTTATTTCTTTTTCCTCCTCTTCATGCCAGTGTCATCAGAAATTTTACTTGTCAGTTATTTAAGATGTTATTTTCTACTATCTGTATTTATTTAGACTTAATAATATATTTATTGGCTTATTTGATCATGTTTCTGCTTATATTACACTTCTTCTGATTCTTTCTTTTGAAGAGGTAGGAATTTGGGGGGTTTTTTTCTTACTGGCTATCTTCTGTAGGTGTTTGAGACGTTCTTTGGGTGATAAACTTTGAGTCCCTGTATGTTGCAAACTATCTTCTTTGCAGTCACTATGGAATATTAATATGGCTGGATATTGGATTCTAGATTACAAATTTTTTTTTCCTTAGCACTTTGACAGTCTGCCTCAGTGTCTTCTTGGGTCTAATGTAGTTGGCCCTCCATGTCCATGGATTTTGCATTCGTGGATTCAACCAACCAAGCAAAAATATTTGGGAAAAAAAATATTCCAGAAAGTTCCGAAAACCAAACTTGAATTTGTTATACACCAGCAACTTTTTACATAGCATTTACATTGTACTAGAGATGATTTTTTTTTATTTTTTACATTTAATGTAATTTTTTTTCATGTTTGCTTTGGGATGGGGAATAGATCACTCAGTAAAAGCATACAGTAAAAACAAAGTATGTCTTACGTACAGCTTTAAAACTACAATAATGATGTACCTTTGCATCCCATACTAATGATGTGTGTAGGTTGTATGCAAATACTATGCTATTTTATGTAAGAGACTTGAGCATCTGTGGATATTGGTAGCTGTAGACGGTGGGGGGAATGGAGAGGTGCTGGAACTAACCCTCTGAGGATACCAGGGGACAAGTGTATTGTTCCTGAAAAGTAGCAGATATGAGAAGTAGCCAGAGACTATGTTAGGTAGACCCTTGAAGAAAAAAGAAAGCAATTTGAATTTGATTGTAAATGCAGTGAGAAACTATAAGAAGGCTTTGAAAGTTTTTAAGCCATAGAGAAACAGTATTTCATATATTCTATTTATTTGTGCATTTATTTATTTTTGGCTGTGTTGGGTCTTCATTGCTGTGTGTAGGCTTTCTCTAATTGCGGCGAGCAGGGGCTACTCTTGTGTTAAATATTTTCCATTGTACCATTTTAATTCCCTTGTTCTTTTGCTGTGTATTTTTTGAGCTACTGTTTTAGTGACTGCCTTTAGAATTATAAATAACATCTTAATTTATGATAATCTATTTCATATTAATATGAACTTGAGTAGTATACAAACTTTGTTCCCATATAGCTCCATTCCCTTCTCCTTCCTTTGTGTTATTGTCATACCAGTTATATTTTTAATCATTATAAGCCTATCAACGTAGTTTTATAATTATTTATATAGTTTCATTTTTGTGGCAATAATTGTGTGATTCTCTGACACCAACTTTGTGTCCTAAAGTTCAATTCAGTTCTGATACTAACTACTTGGAATTAAAGCAGATTCTACAATTTCATGGCTCAGTCTCACAAGGTAGTCCTGGCTTTACATGCCAGTCTCAATTCCCCAGACCTCAGATTTCCTACTCTTCTCTCTGACTTTGCTACAAATTCAGGGATTCCCACAACCCCCCTCCACCGCCAACTTCAGGTTCAGTATTTGCTAGAACGACTCACAGAATACAGGAAGATGTTACACTTAACAATTACCTGTTTATTATAAAGGATACAACTCAGGAACAGCCAAATGAAAGAGGTGCATAGCGCAAGGTATGGGGGGTTAGAGTGGTGCAGAGCTTCTAATCCCTTTCTGGGTGCACCACCTTCCCAGCATATGGACATGTTCACTAACCCAGAAGCTCCATAACCATGTTGTTCAAGAGTTTTATTGAGTTTCATTACCTGGATATGATTGATTAAATTATTGGCTGTTGGTGAGTGAGGTCAATCTCCAGCCTCTCTCTACTCCTTGAGGGCAGGGGGTGAGGCTGAAAGTTCCAACCCCTTAATTATGTGGTTGGTTCTTCTGGTAATCAGTCTCTATTCTGAAGCTGTATAGGGACCCTGCCAAGAGTCGTCTTATTAGCATAAAATCAGGTATCTGCAAAAGGGACTTAGTGTGAATAACAAAAGACACTTCTGTCACTCAGGAAATTCTAAGGTTTTTAAGACCTCTGAGCCAGGAACTGGGGACAAAAAACCAAATATATATTTTTTATTATACCACAACAGTTGTCTTTTATATCAGATAGGAGAAAAGAAGAGTTACAAACAACAGATACATTTTTACTGTCTCTTATTCACATATGTAGTTACCTTTACTGGTGCTCTTTATTTCTTTGTGTAGTTTCAAGTTACTGTCTAGTGTCCTTTCATTTCATTCTGAAAGACTTGCATTAATATTTCTTGTAGGGCAGGTCTGCTAATGATGAATTCTACCAGTATTTGTTTATCTGAGAATGTCTTAAGTTTTCTTTCTTTTGGAGGCATAGTTTTGCTGGGTATAGAA